ATTTTCCCCTCAGAGTAAACCATAGTCATAAAGATTATGATGTTCGGAGTTGGGAATTTGAATATCTTATCACACACACTATGTATTACAGGTCTTCCTGGAGAGAGATAGTTTTGTAGCACTTAATCCAGTCTCTCTGTAGAAGTGTCTTTTCCTACTAATGCTGGCTGTGACAAATGCTGCACCTGGGCTCCTTCACTGTGTCTCCACCTCCCTTTTCTATTTCCTTCACAATACAGAGACCAGTGGTGTCCATTTCCTAGACGTTTTTGTGCCTAGAGTTGTAGGTGTGAATTGTGTTTGTCCAGTGGCTATACGCATGTTACATTTAGAAAGAAGTGCTCTGAACACTCTCCTGACCAGTCAGTGACTGCCTTTCTGCACCCGTGTTTAGTTCATTGCTCAGACCCTGGAGAAGCCATAGGCAACGGTGGGTGAGTGCAGTAGCATTTGGACACACCTTTCTCTCGCAGGGTGATGATCCTGAACCTACAGAGCTCCGATCTTGTTCTAGAGCCCTTAGCGGCATTAGCGGCACTGAAAGGCCAGCTCTGCATTGTTCTGGTGGTCATTCTTGGAGGCTCATCTGGATCCCACTTCGATGTGGACCTGGATTTTGTAAGTGCCCCCTGTTAACAACTTAAAACACCTAGAAATGTTTATAGCAGTTTACACTGGATCAGAACAACACAGTCCCTAGTGTAGTCAGGCAAAACCCACCCACTCTACACAAGATTGTTGAACTCAGTTCTGTTTTTTCTTTCTTTCTTTTTTTTTCTTTTGAGACAAAGTTTCTTCTGTGTAGCCCTGGCTACCCTGGAACTTGCTCTGTAGACCAGACTAGCCTCAAACTCAGAGAGCCACCTGCCTCTGCCTCCCAAGTGTTGGGATGGTATCTCCACTTTTATAGAATGCTGGAGGAACCAGAAAAGTTTTGAAAACAGAAGAACCAAGTGTGCATGTAACAGGTATGTACTTTGAACCAAGTCATTTAATTTTTCTGCACCTAAGTGTCATTACAGATGGAACAGGTGTCAACACACTAAAGTGGCAGAATTGTAAAAGCTAAACACAGAAACATGTTAAACACCCAACATCGACTTGTAAAAGCTAAACACAGAAACATGTTAAACACCCAGCATCGACTTACTTGCTTTATTTCTTTCTATCAAAATATTGGCTTTCCTATAATGATTAAGATTAGCAAACTTTCTTTTCAGGAATTCTCTCTAAAAGACTTTAAAGAAAGTACTTAGGGGGAAAAGTGCTGATTCACCCAGCTAAGAATATCTTTTTTAAATTTATTTTTATATTCTGTGTGGGGGAGTTTTTCCTGCACCTATGTCTGTGTATCACGTGCATGCCTCAGAGGCCAGAAAAGGATGCTGGATCCCCTAGAACTGAAGTTATAGGTCATTGTTAGCTGTCATGTGGGGGACTTCTAGAAGAGCAGCCAGTGACCTTAACCAATGAGCCATCTCTCTCCAGTCCCAACAACACTTTTATTAAATACAGACTAGCAAAGAGACCTTTATATAAGCCAGGGCAACTAATTCTTTCCTAGCTCTAGGAAGCTCACCCTCACTGGTACCTCAGAGCCAAGACAACCATCAATTAATTCAGAAGGTGTTTATTAAGCCTCACCATTGATAGACACTGTTCTGCCCATTGAAGTACCATAAGGCTTCCAGGAATGTGTAGCTCACTGGGAAAGACGGATGGCAACCAAGCCAGTCAGCTTGGTTGGGAAGAATTCTGAAGACAAGGTGGCCATCCTCCAAGTCCTTCATCCTTCTGCTACCCTCTTCAGTGGCTTGCCATGCGCCTTGACTCAACCTTTCTTCAAGTTTCTGTCATAGGGATAAAGTACAGGCATATAGAGAATATCCACAAGGTCAATGTTGTCTTTGCTCAGTGGGCAGTTTCAGGACTCAGGGAGGATCTGAGGTCAGGTACTGCTTCATAGATGGTGGTAGAAAGCATGAGATACCTGGATTAGAGACAAAGAGACATGTCCGAGTTGTATGACTTCAGTGGTGCTGGTTCCCATGTCCTCGGAGTCCCACTGTGTCTAAGGTGAAGGGTTCATGTGGAAACCACAGGTACAGTAGGTTTGTGTCATAGTCAAGGAATACTGAATTTGGGTACTTCCTATTTCTGTGGCATGTGGTAAGCAAATTGACTTTTTGAAAGGAGATATTATTTGGTTATTCTGTTGTTTTTGACAAAGGCAGCTCTGAGAAATGGCCCTACTTGAAAAGTGGCCAGGTTCTGCATTCTTAGCATACTCAGGAAGAACATATAAGAAGCTTGGGTTCCCTTGGCAGAGTGACTTTCCTAACAGCCAGGTGAGCAAAGGCCCAAACCTTTTATGCCTTGCAGTTTTCTACAATCATAGCTATAAAATTTTCAAAAGTTCAGTGAACATATGAGAGCGTGTCTCTACTGAGGTATCATTTCCCTTATTAGAATAGTTGTTATCAACTGTAGGAGACACCAACTCACATATTAGAAATACTTTTTTCTTCATTACTAAGACACAAATTGAATAGGTATGAAGCAGTAGCTAAAAAAGAATTAACCTTTTGTGGTTGTGGACAACCTTGTCCACACTTCCACCTTGTTTGAGACAGGGTCTCTCTTCCACTACTGTTCTGTACGTGGTAGACAAGTTGGCCAACGTGTGTCCAGGGATTCTCCTGTCTCCGCCTCCCCTCTTGCTATAGGAGCTCTGGAATTATAGATACACTCTATGTTGTCCAGCTTTATTTGGGTTCTAGGGACTCAAATCCCTCATCTTCATGTTTGCCCAACAAGCGATTTACTACTGAACACTTCTCCAGCCTGAATAAAGCCAGATCTTAGTAGATACCATTTGCTCTCTTACATTGTTGTGACATTATTCTCATTAGCCAAGATATTATAGTAAAAGTCTTAGTGGAGTAAATCACAATCGACATAAATTAACTTTCTAGAAAAGACAAGCTGCTTGTAGACTGTAGCTTACATGCACGCACGCACGCGCGCGCACACACACGGCCAGAGGGCAGTTCTGTTTTAAGTTTACGAGGATCTTTCACAGTTTTCCATAGTCTGTACCGATTTGTACAGTGCTAGCTGACATTGTACCACAAATTCTTTCTGTTGGATGTGACAGTTTACAAGCCTTTCAACAGATTGTACCATACCCTCAATAACATCATTTTACCTGTTTCCAAAACCATCAAACAGGTATGAAGTGTTATCTATTATGATTTTAGTATGTAATTCCCTGATGATTAATGTTGAAAACTTTTCTCATATAGCTGTTGGCCATTTATATGTCTTCTATGGAAAAATGTTTATTTAGGTCCCTTACCTATTCCAAAATTTCCCCTTATTGTATGGTTTCTTTATATACTCTATGCCAGGTGGCTGGCTGCTTTCTGTACACCAAGGCTGTCACAATCAGATAGGGTGCCACAAGTTACAGAAGTTTTTCCCAGAGTCTCCAGGACAGCAGTTCAAAACAGAAGTGTCAGCATGGTTGGGTTGTCTTTCACTGCTTAGAGCTGGTCACCTTCTCATTGTGTCACAGATGGCCATGGTGTTCGTCATGTATGTTATAGTGTGTTTCTCTTATAAGGAAGGACATCAGTTGTACTGGATTAGGGCTCCAACTTTAAGGTTTCATTTGAAATTTGGTAATGTACAGTCACTATACTAAATAAACAACTTCCGCTCCTGCAAAGTGATATGACTTTTTGTTTGTGTAGTGTGACTACAGCACAAGGTCTTTCCTAAAAGGGCAACCAAATGATTCCAGGTCTGTGGGTTGATTTAGGTCTGAAAACTGAGTGAAAGGTTGTACCTCTCTACTGTGGTAACTAAAGTCAGAGTTTGGCTAACTGATCTAGAATTCCATGTGTTAAAGTAGAAAGAATTCTCTATTTAGGCTGCCTGTGTATTACGTTCTAAAGATATCTCTGGGCCCAGGTTGTCTGCTACTTGTAAAGATGAATGACTTTTTGATGACTCTGACTTGGTTGGTTAAGTGCTGCTCGGCTTCTGCTATTCTGGAATCCTGTCATCTTCGTGTAAATCAGAGAGGCCAGCTAAACAATGCCATCATCTACTGTCATACCTGGCCCACAGGGACAGGCTGTACAGAGATGTTTTAGGTGTCTTTCTCAACACTTCAGTGAAGCATGTATCTTCTGTGTCCCTGCATGGAGTACAGCTGGGGGATGTGTTTGCATGTTGCATACGATAAATCCAATGCAATATTTCTTTTTCTCTAAATCATTGGCTTTCCTTTTCCACTTCATGTCATGAAGCTCTGGTATCTCAGTCTCCTAAACTACCCATCAGTCAAATAACCTCTAACTGCATGAGCTAAGTGCCTAAGAGCAGAAATACATTAAGGACAGATTTCTTTTTTATTTTCTGCATATTGGTGTTTTGCTTGCTTGTGTGCATGTATGCCATATGCATGCAGTGCCCAAGGAGGCCACAAGAGAGTATTAGATGCTCTGAGCTGGGGTTAGACTGGGTTCTAAGTTGTCATATTGGTGCTGGGAGCACAACTTGAGACCTCTGTAAGGGCCATAAGTGCTCTTAACCAATGAGCCATCTTTCCAGCCCTGAATAGTAATACATTTTGACTATATCTAGTGTTACATTCTATCTTTCATGGTCCCAAAACCCTTAGAACGTATTTCTATATATGGTTCCTAGATTGTTGCCAACATTTATTAGATACAATTTTAGTTATTTTGGTGTGTGAATTGTAGTAGAATATTTTAACGTGTGTTACTTTTGTTCATGTTGCATTTGTTTAACTCTGTGAGGCTGTGTTACTGTGCCTGTCTAAAACACCTGACAGTTTAATAAAGAACTGGCCAATAGCAAGGCAGGATAGGTAGAGCTGGCAGGCAGAGAGAATATATAGAAGGAGAAATCTGGTAGGAGGATCTGAGATCTAGAAGCTGGAGGAGGAGGAGGAGGAGGAGGAGGAGGAGGAGGAGGAGGAGGAAGAGGAGGACTCCTCCAGGGTCCAGCTACCCAGCTACCCAGCAAGCCACTGAGTAAGAGTAAGATTTACAGAAGTTAGAGAAAAGGAAAAGCCCAGAGGCAAAAGGTAGATGGGATATGTTAAGATAAGAAAAGCTAGCAAGAAACTAAGCCAAGCTAAGGCCGGGCATTGATAATTAAGAATAGGCCTCCGTGTGTGATTTACTTGTGAGCTGGGTAGTGGGCCCCTCAAAAAAGAGTAAAAAAACAACCAACAACAGTGAATTATTGCTCCAATCTATTCCAAAAGAGCACACAATAAAAGGTGATCATTGTCTCAGGTATAGGGGCTCAGAAGTTGACTGCTAGTTTTTTTGAGAAAGATACAAATTCTATGTCAAGGAATCCACCCTGATGAGGACAGTCACTTCTGGTAGATTTTGTAGAAAAGATGAGTATTTTAGGAAAACATACGTGTGCATACAATCCCCCTAACCTTAAATGACAAGATTTTTTTTTTAATTTTTAACTTTTTTCATTGTAAGGATGTTTTGCCTGCATGTATGCCTGGTGTCCAAAGAGACCAGAAGGTGCCAAATTCTCACATGGAACTGGAGTTACAGATGGTTTCAAGCTGCCGTGTGGGTGCAGAACCCAGGTCTTCTAGAGGAATAGCCAATGGTCCAACCACTAAGCCATCTCTCTAGTCCAAACTGACAAGGTTTTCAAGCAAAGAAAACCCAATGTGCTAGCTACAGAGTGACAACCGAGTCTACTGGTGACCACACAGGTATGTGTTGGGAGAGGGGTAGGACACACAGGGCAGGACTGCTAGATTTATCTGTAGCTGACTCATTCCAAATTTTAGGATTTTATCATTCACCAATTAATCCATCCACTTTTTAGAGGAAAAAAAAAAAAGCTTGTTACATCTGTGAATTCAATAGTGAACAATAAGTCAGCCGTTCCAAAACCAAAATAGAGCTTTTGATCCTCAGTTATATAATTCTCATTGCTACAAGAGGGGTTCTCTTAGAATTGTTATGGAATCTCTTTGATTCTCATACCATAGGAGAGCTGATGGACCTGGGCTTGCCATTTCTCTTTATAAGCATTCAGAAGTACTCCAAAGCATCCTCCCCCACCATTGTCCTTATAGTCCCTTTTGTAGCCATGAAGTCAAACATAGCTGTCACCTCATCGCCCCCATGTATTTGCTCCATTGGCATTTCATCAGCATCAACCACAGGTGATTGCTTAATTAACTGAGGTGCTCTTCGTGACCCAAATTATCATTCTATTTTCCATTGGCAAGGCTCTTGAGGCAAAGGCCAGTCAATCTGACCTTTAAATCCAGTCTTTGCAGGTCCGTCTCTTGGGACTACTTCCTGGACACTGAAGGCTTAATAAAACTGATTCTTAACTCTAATAGGGAATTAAACAACGAGGGATTCACTAGCAAGAAAACCAGAGGGAATACAGACAGCAGCTGTGGAGAGCCAACCTTATAATTACCTCTTGAGCTGATAAAGGGCCCCCCCCCCCAAAGACAGCCCTGCCCACCCAGTTAAGGGCTAAGATGATAAGCGATGGCATGGCAACTGTAGTATGGTTGACTGAGGAATAGAGAAGTCATTGTGATTCTTGCTATGCATTGTTGCTAGAGAGTGCCCGGAAAGCTCTTCATGCCTTACGCCATTACAAAACTGTTGGCCACCAAGGAGTTTGGACTTGGAAAAAGTCAAGTATGCTAGGAGAAACTGCTTATCAGATATATTAGAACCAGGAAGCAAGTTCCTTGGTTTCCTGTAATGTCTCTTCAGCACCCTCTACTGACTGAAAGTCCCAGAAGGAGAAGACAAACCCACTTCAAAGGCCCAGATTCATTTTCACAGCGCGGTGCAAAAGGGTGCATTTGGAGCCGAGAGGCTATAATTCAATAGTCGGCACAAGCTTTTCTCAGATCCCTCTCATTAGATTTTGTCGACAGATGTCTACATCTGCCCGCATGAGGCTTTGTCGGCCTCTTTTCCTCCCAGGTTTCCTCCCAGGATGTTGCCAAAAGCAAGAGGAAGAGATGAGTCCAAAAAGGATCCCCCAGATTTCTGGTCTATCCTTCCTAACGGCCCTTCACCGACCCTTCCAGGGCACGCTGATCTGGGTGTTCCAGGAGAGAAGACCCGACCAGAGAGGATGGAATTTGGGGAATGAACCACAGCCGCTATGGAACGCCGGCTGTTGGAACCCTGGAAGCACCCTACTACTGGCCTCAACGCCTGCAAAACCTCCTCCCTTGTCACCAAAGCCTCTTGAGGTCTTCCTACTGTCAGGGCCCAGTGAGGCAGGCGCTGGGCGGGCCTGGCGGGCGACGCGCTGTGATTGGGCGCCAGGGGGCCCGCCCCCTCATCCCGGCGCGTCGGGAGGGGGCGGGGCCAACCGGCTGCCCAGCTCCGGGGCTACGGGCGCCTATTGACCCAACAGCCGCCGCTGCCGTCTCCTCCGGCTCGTGGCGGGCGGTCCTGGAGCGCCGAGTGGCGCTGGGGAAGCCGGCTCTTCCTTCCGTGGCTGCCGCCGCCATCTCCGCGTTTTCGGGGCGGGAAGGAGGGGGGTGCTCACGGCTGCAGCTGGAGCGGGCTCCTCTCCGGGGACGGTCCTCTCCTTGCTCTCTGCTTTGCCTCCCTCCCGGCGCCGCCCGCCCCCTTGCGCCCTCCGCGTGCAGCTCCGGCCCGGGAGGGAGAAGGTAGGGGAGGCGGGGGCCGGGAGAGGCCGGGGAACGGACACACACACCCGAGGAAAGTCCTGGATCGCAGCGCCCCGGAGCCCAAGGTGCACCCCGGCCGGGCCCCCGCAGTAGCCGCGGCAGGAAGGGGCTCCGGCGGGGACGCGGGGGCGGTGTGGCGGGGGCGGGCCTGGGTGTCCCAGCGCTAAGTTGTGGGGCACGGCGCTTCCAGGTCCAGTTCCTCCTTCCGCGCGCTCCTCGCTCCCAGCGCTGCACGCTCGGCCCCGGAGCCGCGGAACCCGCGCGTTCTCTGGGCGCCGAGGACACGCCTGCCCTTGTCGAGAAAACTTTTCCTGCCGACTCAGTCGAGGCGGCGGTGGCAGGAAGTCGGGGCAGCGACCTCTCCTCTGCCTGCTCCGCGCGCCCTACTACGGGTGTCGGTCCCCAGCAGGAGAGCAAGTTCGTGGGGACCCTTTCCTTTGCTGCTCAGGAGTCCGTCTTGCAGGGACCGCCAGCCCCGGGGAGGGCAGCGGGCCAGGGCGTAGGCCGAGGGCGCAGGCCGAGGGCGCGTGGTGGCTCCGGGGACGAGGTGCGGAGCGCGACCGGGACCCGCGCTGTAGAGTGTGCAGCCCAGAGCAGAGAGCCCTCGGCGACCGCGGACTGGAGTCCCCAGTCCTCCGCCTCTCTCGTTTGAGGACCGTGTCCTGGCTCCGAGGCTATCGAGGAAAAAATGAAGTTAAGTCGCCAGTTCACCGTGTTCGGCAGCGCGATCTTCTGCGTCGTCATTTTCTCACTCTACCTGATGCTGGACAGGGGTCACTTGGACTACCCTCGGGGCCCGCGCCGGGAGGGCTCCTTCCCGCAGGTAAGCACCTGGCGTCGGGCGCGGGGCTGGAGGGCTAGCCTCGGGGGCTCTCACTTCTGCTCGCAGACGCTCGCTCGGCACCGGGGCAGGGTGAGGCCACACCCGACGACCAGCTGAGCCTCATCCGGCCCAGGCTGGGTCGCGCTCAGACCGCCGAGTTCGTAAAGTGCTGGGCATCGTTAGGTGACAGCTTCGCGCTCTCCAGAAGTGGCCTTGTTCGGGCATTCGCACCCGGGCCTGTGGAGTGCCCTCGGGCACCTGCTGACCGGGAACCCTCGTGGTATGAGTGTCGCTGTGGGTCGCCCCCTCGGCTGGCTCAGGGTTAAGCTGCCAGGGGCTGCCCGGATCCCCCCTCTTGCGCCCAGCCGAAGCGCAGCCCACCTAGCCCACCTAAAAAACCAGGTTTCTGATTTTGCTCCCGTCCCCCTTCACGGTCTCCTAAGAGAGAAAAAGTTTATTTCCTGTTGCAGCCCTTTTGGACGTGGATAGTAAGTAGCGTTGATTTTAGTGTCGTCATTCTTCAGCTGTTACATCGGGTGATTTGGAGCAGAGCGGGGAAGCGCGTGTTATACTCCCGATGGAAGCTGTGCGGCGCTCAGTTCTGTGCGGGGTGGTCAAACTGGCAAAGGAGTTGGAAAAAAAAAAAAAAAACAACAAAACGACCCACCCAAGTCTTTCAGGAAAAGTTACTAAAAATAAGCAAATCGATGCAATGAGTTCTGTTTGGAAGGTTACTGCACAGCAGTTGCGAGTGGCCTTTAAAGCTCTTTGCCGTCGACGTATTCACATTTTAGTGAAAGCAGATGCAGTGTGGAGCACTTGGAAGAATCCAAATATTGACAAGCTAACAACTAGTCGACTAGAGAAATCTGTGACCTATTCAAATGAGGCTGCTGTTTAATTTTTCTTTTTCTTTCACGGTTTAAGTGATTGAAAACAATCCTGGCCACTTCTTCTGATTGATATACGAGGGTTAATGGTTTGGTGGGAACTGAAATTAAAGTAGAAGCTTGAAGTATTATGAAATTGAAACGAGGAATTAGAGATTCCGTCATTAGTACAGAGCACTGGAAATAAGTTTTAGAAGAGTGGAATTAAAAACCTGGCTGCAGACAGATGTTTCCAAATGTTGACAGCTTCCGCTTTCCCTAGATAGTACGATAGAGAAAATATGCAACAAGCACTATTGGCTGCCTTTAGATTTTGAACTTGGAGTTTACCCCAGGCTTGTTGACGAGACTGAAGTAAACAGTTTGCCAACAGGTAAATCCATGCGGCCAGAGCCCAGGAGTTCTGAGTTTTGTTCCATATTCTCGGTAATTTAGGAGTTAAACTTACTGTGATCCTCTTAACCCCATTTCCAGAATTTTCTCCATTGCAGGAAATATAAAATGGAACCCTTTTACTTAGTGATGTCTTAATAATATCCTCTGGCTTTGGATGGGTGATCACTTGAGCATGATTTATGCAAACATCTGCATGGGGTTCTCTGGCAACCTTGACATTTCCCTCTGTTTCTAAAGCAGTGAGTGACTCATTTAGTTACTGAGAACTCTTAAGCAGTTAATTCTATTTCCATATGAGCCCCCAGCTCACTAGGAAGTTGAAGTAGAGAGCGTGCAGCATTCGGTAGAGAGCCCTGGTGGTGGGCTTCAGGAGACGTGCCTGTAGTGGTGTGTTTTCTGTGCAGGGAGAGAGGGCTTGGGAGTGTATCCTCTGTTTCTCATCTGGACTTCAACCACAGAAAGGTTTAGTATTAGCGGGGCCACTGAATCTCCCAGTGGGTCGACTTCATAAGCTCTCTCAGGAAGCCTGAGAATCATGTGTTTGGCATTAGCTAGAGTGCCTCCTCATATGATGAATTTGATTTCCTCAACTACCAGTCAATTGGTGTGGAACTGAGGCATTACCATGCCCAAGGTCACAGACAAATGCTGGGACTTGAACAGGCAGCTCTTAGAGTGTAGTTAGTCTCAGAGCCACAAAACTGTCTTGCTTCTTGGAATCCTCTTGCTAGAGCCGGCTTGAGCCTTCTTGTTGCCTGATCTGTGGAGAACAGAAACAAACTTGTCGGTTTATGACAACACCTCCCCTCCTCGCCCCCCTCCCCAAGTAACCTTTATTGTGAAGGCATAATGAATGTGGTCCTTTTGCTAAAACATTCACTGCTTCAGATTTATGCTTTCCCAGAATGTCTTCTAACTTACTTCACAGCCAAACACTAGTAGAAAGAAAACCATTACCAAGCAGAGCATCCAACATGTAGGTTCTTTAATTTTTTTCCTGTGTCTAAACTGTATGTTAACTTTAATTTCACAGCAGTGCCAGGCATAGGGAAACTATGTTGCAGTCTGTTTCTTGAGCAGGTTTTGATGGTGAATCCTTGAGTTTAAGTAGAGCCCGTTTGTCAGGGTATGTGTATGTAATGCAACCAGAGGTTATAGTGTGCATTCTAGTTTCTTTCACTTGAAGTGGTAACTTCATTAAGGTGTGCCGTCCATTTAGAATGCAAACTGTATTTAAAGACCATCCTAGGTTGAGAGCGTGTATATTTGTTGTTCTTTGGACTTTTGTTCTTTCCTCTGCTCTTGCAACTTTGTTTCCTGTCACCTAATCAGTCCTGAGGCTAGATTACTCCTGGGCACCCCAGCTCGGCTCCCACCCCACCCCCAGAGCCCTGCCTGCCTGCAGACTACCATTTCCCTCTTAGTGGTTACTGTCAGACCTTCTTTAAGTGTTACTGTAAGAACTTCTTTTTTTTTTTTTTTTTTTTTTTTTTTTTTTTTTTTTTTTTTTTTTTTTGGTTTTTCGAGACAGGGTTTCTCTGTGTAGCTTTGCGCCTTTCCTGGAACTCACTTGGTAGCCCAGGCTGGCCTCGAACTCACAGAGATCCGCCTGGCTCTGCCTCCCGAGTGCTGGGATTAAAGGCGTGCGCCACCACCGCCCTGTAAGAACTTCTTTAAGGCCAGAGGCTGTGGCTGCAGGTGGCCTACATTCTTAGGGTTATTTCATCTCAACTAAAAAAATTAAAGTAAGTAAATCAAACAAAATTTTTAGAAAAGCAAAGCCCAAAACAAACAAACACAACAACAGCAAACAACCCCAAAGTTGAGTCTGAATGAGAGGTTGGCTGGGACCTATTGCTGTGAAAATGCCTTATGCTAGCCACGAGAGTCTGAGCAGATGGGTTGGAGAAATGTTACCGCTCCCTGAAAGGGCTGGCCATTCTAATTAGCAATTTCTCTAGTTGTTACTATGTACCCTAGGAAAAACTAGAATTGAAACAAGGAATCAGAGTTTGTGTAACAAGGAATGGCTTTGACTAGGATATCATATGACGTCGGGGCTGATGTTAGCATTTGAAAGGCTCTGCAGAAACTAGAGAATAATGAAAAAACGTGCTAGTGAAGTCCAGACTTGATCTTGGGGCTCAGAAAACGTTTATCAAGTGCGAAAATGGGAATGTGTTGATGCATTTGATTTGAAAGCCAATGTGGTAGGGATTTTGATGCCTGGAAAAAAAAAAAACCCTTGAAACTAGACATATGTATATGTATGTATGTTTAAATGCTTTATACCACGAGCATCTTTTAGCACTTGGGAAGCTGAGGCAGGAGTATTGCTGCATGTCCTGGGCCAGCCTAAGCAATGCAGACCTCACCTACGTATAAGCAAACACCCTCACACAATCAGAACCACACTAGTAATTTTGAGTGAAGCACAGAACATGTTAATAAAAATGGATCCACAGCAGAAGGTATGAGGACCTTCATGTCCTAGCTGCTGTTCCTTGTTTTTATAAATCTTTTAGTCTGAAGCATGCAATATCTAATGAAAGTGTTCTCCCACACCCACCAGGGCACTGTATTTGGGACAATAGCTGTTGCTGCTAGGGTTTGTTTAGGGAGCACAGCCAGGTTATCTGGTTTCCTGAGCTATAATGATTGAGATCTAGGACTTTTGAGAAAGGATGGAGCTTTGATGACAACCAGGTTTAGATTCAAGAACTTTCAAGAATCTTGAGGTGGTTCCCCTCCATCCCTCCCAAGGTCAGTAATCTTCTGGGACTTCTCTGAGGTGGGTCTCCTCCGTCCCCTCCAGAGGTCAGTAGTCTTCAAGGACTCTTCTGCTAAGCACAGGTCTCAGACTTGGGCTTCTGAGAGTAAGCTGGACCAGATGCCATGGCTACATTTCATCTGAAGGCTTTATTTTTAAAACTGATTTGCATGTATTGTTCCTGGATCAAGACCTGAAGAAGTAAGTACTTTGATAACAGGTGTCAAGATTCTTTTTATTGGAAGGGGATTGTTCTGTTCATTCATTAGCCTCAAAGGATTTCTGAAGTTATGGACAGCACATTGATAAAATTGACCTTTTGTGTGTTTTTACTCTGAGCTTGCTATTGGTTTTTGTGATATTAAAATGTTTACCTAGAAGACTGAGGGGGCATTCTTGCTGGTCCCTTCTGGTCTCCAGCTTTCTCCATTCAGAGGCCTCAGTTTTCCTATTTCCATAGAAAACTCTAAGAATATCAATGGCCAGTCATCTGCTCAGGTGAGCTGTGGTTTTTGACTTATAAAAGGTTTGCTATATTTTTGGATCCTGGTCCTTAGTGGTCCAGGTCCTGATGTGGCAGCGGCTTGTTCATAGTGTTTCTCTAGAACTGTGGTGAGGAATACTATAAAGTAGAGAGCTTTGCTTCTTTCCATAGTTGTTGATAGGAGATCGGTCAGGTCAGGAAGCATTTGCATTAACATTAAAATGGGTTTTAATTTCCCTTCCTAAGCCACATTGCTAGTTTTATGGTTGAAACAAGTTTGGACTTGGAGAATTGCCTGCTCTGTAATGGAGCTCATACGCTGTCCTTTAGTGAGTACTGTTGCTGATTTTGCCTCCTGATACAGATTCATGACTTGATTTGAATAATTCTGTCTGTTGTATAAGTCTAGGTGGAGTGATGGAGAGAGGGTATGTTTAAGGTAATCTCATTTGTGCTGGTA